GCATTCTTACCTTGATAGAGCCATCTGTACTGGCCGATGCATAAAGGTTGCCCATAGGAGCATATTTAACCTGTGAATGGATATTTTGACACAGTGAGATGTGTCGATATGGAAAGAATGATGATCAAGGCTCTTGTTGATTCTTGTCGATACTGATGATATCGTAGGTGTTTATTTGAATTTAAAAGAGAAAGAGAAAAATGATCGTCACTGAAGAGTCTGAAGAGAATGGCTAAAATGGCTAAGTGTTGTGGTATGAAAAAACTTGCAAGAAACGTATCAGACTTGTCAATCACTCACCATGGTAACGGGTCCTGTGTGATATTCTCGTGGGTTGGCAGGTGCAAAGCACTGGGACGTGTTTGTATCATACAATCGAACTGAAATAATGAATGAATGAAATGAGAGGCCAATAAGAGTGCTGTGAGGATATTTTCCTTGAGGTGCGTCAGGAGTTGTTACTCACTTGTTGGATGTTCGGTGCTGACAAGAATGAAATCTCCTGACGGATGAAATGACATCGAGTTGATGACTTCTGATTCCTGGAAAAGGTAAAGACAACGGACAATATATTACTTGATCATCCTCATTATCCATGGTAGTAGTTGATGCACCATCTAAACTAACACCACCACCACTATCGTCATTATCCATTGCCGTCATCATTATCACCATTCATCGTCATCATCATCATTACGATCATTAGCTGCAGCATCACTATCATCATCAAAAGCATCATCATTATCATCAGCAACAGCATCTTCATCAGCAGCAGCAGCATTATCACCATAAAGACCGCCATCATAACCATTATTATCATCAGAAGCATCTTCAACATCACCTCTATTATCATCATCTGCAGCAGCAGCAGCAGCAGCATCACCATCACCATCATTATCATCAGCGTCATCATCACATTATCATCATCACATTATCATCACCATCATCATCATCATCACCATCATCATCACCATCATCACCATCATTAACGTCAGCGCCATCATCACATTATCATCACATTATCATCATACATTATCATCACCATCATCACCATCATCACCATCATCATCATCACCATCATCATCACCATCATCACCATCATCATCACCATCATCACCATCACCATCATCACCATCATCACCATCATTAACGTCAGCGCCATCATCACATTATCATCATCACATTATCATCATCACATTATCATCACCATCATCACCATCATCACCACCATCACCATCACCATCATCATCACCATCATCACCATCATCACCATCATTAACGTCAGCAGCATCATACATACCTGTATGGCTCTATATGCCTTCTTAACGGATGGCTTCGATATATCGAACATTTTGATGGTGCAGTCTTTTCCACCAGATACCAAGACCGATGTGAAGGGATGGAATTCTAATGCCGTCACTTCCTGCACAACATACACACAAAACAAATATCATGTACTGATATCATCGTTGCGGTTGTTGTTGTGATTGTTGTTGTTGTTGTGGTTGTTGTTGTTGTTGGTGGTGGTGGTGGTGGTGGTGGTGGTGGTTGTTGTTGTTGGTGGTGGTGGTGGTGGGGGTGTAGTGGTCACATTGTTGTTGATAACAATGTGGTGCTGCTATTGTTGTTATTGATGATAGATAACATACAGATCAACGAAACTATACATCATCACTGTTGTTCATGCTGAAGTTGATGTTGTCAGTAGACGGCGTTACTTTTATTAAGAGTTTGAATCCAGAGTTTTTGAGGTTTGATCAGGTTGTCGAAACGTCAGTCACCACCAACAACAGCCTTTCTTAAGAGTACACTCACCCGGACGATCACACTTCACAACAAAGTTACTTTTAATCTTGTATATAAATATTCACTTCAGGGTTTGTTCTTGTTACCTCTCCTCTGTATGGTCGTAAAGTGTTCTTATTACAGGATGGTTTTCTAGGTTGTTACCTCACGTCTGTATGGTCGTAAAGTGTTCTTATTACAGGAAGGTTTTCTAGGTTGTTGCCTCACCTCTGTATGGTCGTAAAGTGTTCTTATTACAGGAAGGTTTTCTAGGTTGTTACCTCGCGTCTGTATGGTCGTAAAGTGTTCTTATTACAAGATGGTTTTCTAGGTTGTTACCTCACCTCTGTATGGTCGTAAAGTGTTCTTATTACAGAATGGTTTTCTAGGTTGTTACCTCACCTCTGCATGATCGTAAAGTGTTCTTATTACAGGATGGTTTTCTAGGTTCATCCCTTGTCCTTGGTCATGCGTTTGTGGCATGGTGTTCTTTGCTACCATTCGATCCACGTCTAAAACCTTCAAGACAAAACGAGAAGAATATACATGTATTTCAAAAACGTTTGGTGAAGGTATGTTGCCTGTTGCATGTTGCATGTTGCATGTTGCCTGTTTCATGTTGCATGTTGTCTGTTGCATGTTG